GGGACAGGCAGGCTCAGCAGGCTTGAGGAGGGTGGTGGGTGCAGGATGCGGGATGGAGTCTGATGGTGCCATGTTCTCCGCATGCAGGGGACAACATGACAGGTGGCACAGGTGCTGTGGAGCTGGTGGAGGACCTGCTGCTTCGTGCTGAGCGCTCACCGGTGGGCCCCAGAAAAGTCAAGGAGAGGCAGAAATCCTCACGGGGGGCCCGTGGGCGTAACTGCCACATCCGCAACCTGATGGTAAAGGTACGCGACCTGGGCCTGGGCTTCAACTCGGACGAGATTGTGCTATTCAAGTACTGCAGTGGGTCCTGCCACCGGACACGCAGCAATTACGACCTGACGCTGGGCAGCCTAAGCAGCTCATTTCCCCAGGGCCGCAGGAGCGGGTCCTCAGCCACCCCTGCTGCCGGCCCACTCGCTATGAGGCTGTCTCCTTCATGGACGTGCAGAACACATGGCAGACAGTGGAGAAGCTCTCAGCAGCCGAGTGCAGCTGCATCGGCTGAGGAGGGGGCTGCTGTCTCTGCCCCAGCTCGATGCACGCTGGCAGACTCCTGCTTGCCACACACAGTGGCACCAGCGCTCAGAGAAAGGGTCTGGCAGAGGCTGGTGCCACCAGTTTTGTGTGACCACAAGGGACTAAAGCAAGATGGAGGCGTGATGGGGGGGGTGGGGTGGCTGGCTGAGCCCCCTCCCACTCAGTGCCAAGCAGCTAGTGCCGCCAACTACGTGGTGTCCTGCATGGATGCACTGTGGCTCAGCCCTGTGAGAGGAGCCAGAGAGGGTACAGCAGCACCCAGCTCGCCTGCACCCTGCCGGGACTGGTGCTCCCACACGCCTGCTTTAGGGCTGTGGCAAAGCATCACCCCAAGCTTCAGAGGGGAACAGAAAGGGGGCAAAACCTCCCTGTCTCCTCAGGCAGCCGGGGACTGGCTGTGGCCAGAGCTGTCCTGCAGGGAGGGGGTGTCCCTGAGGACACGGGTGCAGCAGGGTGAAACGGCACCAGCATGGGGTGGGGGACTTGCACCTGTGGCTGGCAGCAGCCCCTGGTGCTCCACAGGGATGGTGGGATACAGGCACCCACTGGGACCCCTGCCCAGTTCCCGGGGGGTGGCAGGGTCCCCCCGCTGCTCCCGCGGTGCTGTGGCACTAAACTATTTATTACTCTAAATTATTTATTTATTGTTCTCGAGCGGCAGCTCCTATTTATGACTTTGGGTCCCCGGGGGCCGGGTGTAATTTAACCCCGGCGCTGCT